TCAGATGCAGAGGCCACCAACTACCAACTGAGCCACATACAGAACCTGGTTCACAGAAGGTGGTCACATAATTCACAATCTCAGGGCAGGAAACTTCGAGAGAAAGTTCGCACATAATAGAATGTCAGATTAGGAGTCCTGTAGCATAGCGGTTAGCTCGCTCGCCTAGTAAGCAAGAGGACACAGGTTTAATTCCCGAGCGAGGCAAAACCTTAGGCAAGTTTCCTTACTCCAAATGGGCAACTACTCCATGGCTGTTTGTGTTACATTGCCGTGCGCAACTGTCTGCTGCGTTCCACCCCCAAAACAGTCGATCCATTTTATAATACATCCTGTGAAGTCCTTTGAGGCATCTCAACAACCAGATAAGGTGCTATATCAAATGCAAGGATTATTTATTAGATTATAATGACAAAGTGTGGAATGCATAAAATCAGTCAATTAAAGAGTCATCCTGCACAGCATGCGATTTTGTAAGCTTGTTCAAGCTGGAAGCTGGGAATACCTTTGTAGTTTGGATCTCATGAGCTATATCAAAATTCTAGAATATGATCTTCCCTGAAGGTGCTGACATTCTGTAAACATAGAGCAAGAGTCAAATTAAAATCCTGCAATTGTTCTAGCATCAATGATCCCACTGTGTGGCACAGACGTTTCTATTCCCTCAACATCCAACCCTTATGGCCTCTCCAAGTTTGCCCAATTAGGAACAGTTCAGGCTGCACGGGATATTGAAGTGAAAACTGCCCAAGCTTGTTTTGTTTAACACCCTTAGTCAAAGAAAGGTGTTGGCAGCGTTCAAAAGTAGCCAACAAAGTCGAGGGCAGTGTTCACACTGCATTATGCAGCGTCGATCTATACAGAATTTGTTTCATGCAAGCAAATTAAAGAAAGTACGCATTTGAAGGTTTCTCTCATTGGTGCATTAAGAACATTACCAAATAACCTAGCAGGCAGGTGGAGTACTTTAGCAAAGCATGCAGAAATATCCTGTTGGTTCCTGAAATGTAGGCTTTGAATTATAGAACTCTAGTGCAAAATGCTACAAAAGTTGAGGCTGCAGGTCAACTAAAAAGGCTTGTACACCAGAAAAGATCACCCTTGAAGTTCACATCAACCCTTTTGTTCTATGTAAGCACATTTTAATATTGTCGATGGTTTGGGCAACACTTTTTTTAAAAAAAAACTGTTCCTGAAACCAATGATTTGTTACTCAGCTTCCGATTTGGTCATGCTAAACATCTGGTTTTCTCCCTCACTTTTTACATTTCACAAGCTTAATTTCATGAGGTGACAAGGCAAGATCCATGCTCAAATTTCTGAATTGGCAGTTTCCAGTAATAAGGCATAAAGTAGTCACTTTTTTTTTTACAGTGAATCCTGTGAAGCGTTTTGAGACATCCTTGGTCCCCACTCCTCCCAAATCCAACCCCCAGCTTGGGTGCAAGTCCTTGACTATCCAGTACCTTGGGACTTCCTCCAGACGTAAAAGGTGCTACACCAAATGCAAGGATTTATTTTAATTCTCATTTTAGTAAAGGCTGCTCAAATTATTCCTTTAATGTAGTACGACATTGTGAAAAATAAGTCTAAATGCAGATAAAGCATCAAATGTCGACAATTTAACAAGCTGTGCTGTTAGCTTCAAGCCACAATTCCATCCATCTATTTGACTAGATTAGTCTTTTGTATTGTTAATGTGGGACTCAATATACACTTGTTCCACAGACAGGTACATGTAAAGTACGAGTCAGGGTTTTTCATCTAGCCTGGCAGATGATTTTTTAAGCATTTAAACCCGTGGTGAGTTTTATAAAAGCAACTTCATACAGTGATTTGGTAATTTTCAGACAGTGACAGCAGCTCTGATTCACAAAGCTCCATTATTAACAAGGTGAATATCAACAGCACCAAATGGTGGCAGAGCAGATGTTAAAAACTGCCAACTTTCTCCCACACCAGTACAGCAATTGCATAATTACAATCTACACATACCTAAACTCCCAGACTTCACTGATAGCCACACAAACTCAAACTGTGGATTAATTATATCCCAAAACATTAATTCAGGGCAATAGCTCATGTTAAGAAAATTTAATTAACACATTTTGTACATCCAGCAAGTTTAAATAGCTGAAGACATTTTAAACTAAGAGAACATTCTCGGAGCCCATAGTAAATGCTGCTTTCAATATGGGCTGGGGGGGAAGAGGGTTTAATTTGAAACAAAAATCTATAGGTTGGGAAAGTGACAGAAAAGGAAATTACTTGACTTGGAGAAAGAACTCAATATTAAGCTAAAAAGAAATTTATAGAAGTAATCTCCAAGTGGAAATTAGAAAATCAAGCTGTAGGAATTCACTACATATAACAGGAACATTAAGGTCCACTTTTAATCATACATACCACTACATGAAAGATCACCATGGCAACTCAAACAAATAAAGCAATTCTTACATTTTCTAAATGCAAGGAAAAAAAACACACCCCGAAGCCCAGCTTTTATTGCACTGACTGCCAGCAATCCCCAAATTATATTGCATTACACTATTTGCAAAGGTTTCAATCATGCACTATATGAACACACACTTCACTGAACAGTCTTTTGGTCAAACAGTTTGTCAGGCTGTCGAAGAGTGAAATGTACAAATTTTAAAGTTGTTAAGACTTTCCCCTAAAGGGCAGTCTCACTTCAAATGTTAATATTAACTTTTCTGCGTTGGAGATCAATTTAACATGAATGCTATTAAGTTAAAAATCAATGCCATTCCACATGAAAAATCTTAAAAGGCATTCAACGTTGTTTAAAATATTGAAGATACTAAATTGAATGGGTTTAAATTTAACCCTTGAACATTCAAGAAAATGACTTAGTTAAAGGGGGCCCAAAAGCCTCAGAAATTGTTCTGACAAATCTAGAGGCGTTAAATGCAGTTTCTTAAAACTAGCACCAGAATGTGCTACAACACTCATTTAACCTGTAAATACAGGTTCTCAGCACCAATTAAAAATACCCAATTATTTGAAGCCCAGCTAAAAACATATTATTAATAATAATATTCCTTGCATTTGATTATACCATCTTATGTCGTTGAGACATCTCAAAGCGCTTCACAGAATATATTACAAAGTGGATTACTGTATACTTGTGGGCGAAACATAAAAAAACATCCATTGGTGCTTTTAAAAACACACTGTTGAGGATGATCAAATTTGATTTACGCAGAAGTGTCATGCAGAACCCAGAGCAAATCTAGTTCTTCCAGTGTATTTTAAGATAAAGCAATTTGTTTTTTTGGTGCAAAGATTAACGTAATCTTTAAGAGGGTTAATGCTCCTTGGTGCCAATGAAGCAATCTGGTGACACCCAGAGAGAAAAAAAAATTCCTAGCATTTCTGGCTTGCTTAGATTGGTAGGAGTCGGAATGGTTTTATCTGTGATCTTATACTAGGGTTGTGTTAATACTTTACTAAAATTCAATAGTCAGAGCTGAATTAACTTTCTGCCTCTTCAGTGCCTTATGGTCGTGCTGAGCGAGTGTGCAGATGCAATTTTTTTTAAAAAAAAACCCTACCTGTACTGTAGCCATTGAGCTACCGGTTTAATTGCTGCAATAATGTCAGTACTCTGTAGAAAAGGATTTAAATGATCAAATCCAGTCCTGTACTATGCCCATAGCAGCTGGCTCAATGACAAGTCAATTAACTTTTGATTATAATCAATTCAATTTTAAAAAGTAATGAATTGTAAAGCCCTATGCACATGGATACATAATGATGCCATGGCAACTTGGGGGAAAAAAAATACAAACCACCGAAATATCGGTCACCTCCACCAACACCACCACCCTTTCCCCCCCACCACCACCCACCCCACCCACAAAATGCACACAAAAAAAAAGTTACAGCAGCTTGGCAAGGCTCAAAAGCACCCACTTGCACTTGCAAGAGCTCACTCAGCCCTATAAAGTTGTTAAATGAAAGAGTCCAGCTGTTGGGCTTAATGCAGACTTAATCAATGGTGATTTTTAAGGTAGTTCAATAGGTGTAACAATTTGAGAGGCAGTCGGTGCAGACTTCAAACGCTCAGAGAGGCATTTCATTTCAGAGCACATCTGGACGCCAGCCAGACAGGGGGGATCCGACTTCTGGAACGAGCAACTTTGACGTGCGTCTCTTTTCAACACAATGCCACAACCTGTGCTGTGGAACACACCCCACACACCCCCCACCCCCCACCTCCCCATTTTATATGGTGCTGTTATCGTGCTTCGCGTTGTTGGGGATACAACTGACCTGAAAGCCTCCAAAAAGCAGCATTTATGTTCGAGCCGCTTTTGACTGCGAAACGCATCGTCAGTTCACTTTAACGATGCGTTCTGCAAAGCACTTTAAGACGTCTCACCAGTGTGATCAGACAGGTACTATATCAAATGCAAGGATTATTATTATTATTATTATTAATTATTATTATTATTATTAGACAGGTAACATGGGCAAAGGGAGCAAAGGGCAAGAGACCCAGGTCTTAAAATTTACAGTATTTTATTTTAACACCAGGTCGTAGAAAAATAAGTTCACTTCAATTGCTGTAAACCTCCCACCACCACCACCACCACTGCTGCCCCTCTGACTGTACCTTTCCAGCAGACGCACCAAATCACTGGGTGGCGAGTTCAGTGCACAGAATGAAATAAAACCTTTACCTGCCCCCATCACAGGTCGAGGCAGAGGATAACAGCGGGGTTTTCTTTTTAAAAAAAAAACTATTTTAACGTAAATGTCATCTCTGTGTGCAAATTCAGGAGATGAGGGAAAAGAGAGCTTTTAGCACACCAGTGGTTACTTAACGCTTGGGGCTATAAATTTAAGTTTCAGTCTCTCCAGTCTATTTTTGGTAGTTTTTTTTTTAAACAATCAACCGACCCTCACTATTGCAGCTAAGTTCAACAGGCTGGAAACAAAATAGGGTTAAAGGGAAAAATTCAGCTATTACTCACAATGACTGCTTGAACCCAGCAAGCAAAGGGTGAAGCTTTTAGGCAATAAACAGCAGGTGATCTCGCTCTTCTGGAAGTCCTAATGCTTCTAAAAGCCACTCTCAGTGTACTGTAATTGGGCTTCAGTAGTTAATGTAGTATTGACTGCATTATATGGTTCTGTGTATCCTCTTTTACTAATGCCATTTGTATCGCCTTTGTACATTTACCATACTGCTTAGCCAATATCTGTTAAAAGCAATCCAAATCATGAATCATAGGCAAAAAAAAAAACTTTTAGCAAGACAGACACATCCAAAGCAGGAAATTTACAGTTCACTTGGTAACGCAGTCCATTTGGAAAGAAGCAGGATTTAGTACGGCTGAGCAAACTATTTTTTTTATTATTATTACGAGGGTTTTTTTTTTGGAGTGGGGGAGAGGGAGAGAGGAAGAATTGCAACTTATCAAAAACACAAAGCAGCTCTCTCTTTCTCCCCTCTCCATTTGTCCCATTGATTAGCCTCAGCGAACACTAACTAAGTGGCTTTTCCAGCGCATTTTGGCTCTGGATAGTGTGTATTTTACCCACCGAGTAAATACTTAGCTTTTTTTTTCCCCCCCAAAAAAACCAAATGCTCTAAGATAAGACTTGTAGGGCGTGGGATGCCCATGTAGGATCACAACCCCCCAACCCCAACCCCCTCCTCAGTGCCACTTAAAGAGTTAAATCAGCATCTCTGGTCGCTCGTCCCGACAGCAGAGGATAAGAGGAAACGCAGGGATTGTAAACCCAGGGATGAGGAGGTGAGAACAGTGCAGAGGATCACACACTTTTTTTTAAAAAAAAGCATTTCTTGGGGGTTGGTAGATGATTAAAGAGGGATGGAGAGGCGCGGGGGGTGGATAGGGGAAGCGTGAAAAGACTTGCGTGCGTGTTTTCTTGTTATTAACCCCCCAAAAAAACTCATAAATAAGGTTTTTTTTGGGGGGGGGAGAGAAAACAATTGTGTCCATTTCATCACCGTAGCAACGAGGTAAGCATCGAGACGGCTCCAGCAACTGATCCCAACGTGAAACAAGGACATGAAGTGGATGGAGCTCTCCCCCTCTCTCTCTCTCTCTTTTTGGGGAACACCAGAGGGTAAGAGAGAAAAATAATAATAATAATAATAAATAAATGATAGTACGACTAATTTCTCCCCTCCCCTTCACCAAGATCGCAAATTTCTGCTTAATTTGGGGTTAATTTGGGGTGGGGGGGGGGGGGGGAGCTCAAGTTTGCGAGGGGCAGAAACTGAGGCAGTTTCGCAAGCGATGGTGAAGGGGGTACAGACACACACAGTGAGCGCACACTTGAAGCAGAGCATCGCACAGGGAAGGTGGACAGTGTCACAAGAGTGAAACGCCACATCTGTAATATATATTGTTTTTAATGGCAAGTGGTGGGGTTGGTGGGGGGGGGGGGGGACCTGGTAGAATGTAAACATAAGAAGTCTTATTGGGGAGGGGGGGGGGGGAGTGTGTGTGTGTGTGGGGGGGAGGGGGGGGGGTGTTGGGAAGGTGGTGTGGAGAGTTGGTGAGGGTCCGACAGGAGACACACACACACTCACACACTCACTCACTCACACACACGTACAAGAAGAGAGACAGAAAAGGCGCAGATGTTTCGCACGTTAGGAAATACACACAGCCCTTTGACATGTGGGGGGGGGGGGGGGGGGAAGGCAAGGAGTAAAGGGAACCAGGGCGAGAGGACAGACAGACACACAGACAGACACAGACAGAGAGAGAGAGAGAAAAAAATAATACATTCACAACACATCACGAAGTGATGATCACAGACCTATTTTTTTTTAACGTGGCTTTCTGTATGGCTCGTGTCTGCTCTCCAACATCCAGACAGACACACACACAGACGGACAGACCATCAATTGTCAGGAATATATAGATATTTTTTTTTTTGGTGGGGGTGGAAGGGGGTTAAAAACAACATCGAGTCCCCTTACCTTCCTCCTTGTCAAGCACCATCGTCCTCTGTAGACAACGGAGTCCAGGGCACGGCGCTCCCTTCTGGGCTGCGGTAGCCAGCGAGAGTCGGGGGGCTCAGAGATCCGCTGACTGTCTCTGCCTCTGAAGAGAAAGAGGGGGTGTGTGTGTGTGGGGAAGAAGAGAAGAGAGAGAAAAAGAGAAGAGGAGAAAGAAAAAGAAAGAGAGAGAGAGAGAGAGAGAGAAAGTGGGGTGTGTGGGGGAAGATGTGAGAAACCGATCCCCTTTCCTCTCGACTAATAACCTACAACTAATACACCTTCTGCGATTTCTTTTTTTTTGGGGGTGGTGGGTGGTGGTGGTGGTGGTGGGGAGGGGGTGAGTGGGGAGGGGATGGGTGGGGGGTGGGTGGGGGGGTGGGGGGGGGGGTGGGGAGAAATGCTTTAAAATAGCATCAAAACCCGAGCTCCCCACAGCCCCAAACACACACACACACACACAGCCACTGCTCTCTCTCTCTCTTCTCTCTCTCTCTCCCTGTCCCTCTCTCTCTCCTTTTTTTTTCTTGCCAATTTATGTGCTTCGGTTATGTACCCTTTCGGGTCCCTGACTGGCGAATAAATGCACACATTTCCCAGTATTCCTCAGGTTCCCTGGTTAATTAAATCAATTCATTATGCTCATATCTGATTAGCAGCCCCCCGAATCAATTATTCAATACGCAAACATAATTGCCTGTGCCAGAGGTGGCTAAGTTTTAGCTTATTTAACTCCAAGGACACTAATTACCCCTAGGGCAAGGGAACTTTTCTCATTAATTCTGACAAATACAAAAGCCCATTTAAGGAGTGTGTGTGTGTGTGGATGTGTGTGTGTGTGGTTGGCTCACAAAGAGGGGGGGAGAGAGAGAGAGAGAGAGAAAAAAAGAGAGGAAAGAGAGAGAGAAGGGGAAAAAAAAGCACACGTGCATTTTTAGCAATGGAGATCTCAAGGAAAAGAAAACGATTTTTGTGTGTGTGTGTGTGTGTGTGTGTGTACGTGTGTGCTATTCATTTATAAATAGGTAACCTTATTCTGGGATGGCACTCTTGAATCTTTTATTGAATCTCAGAGAAAGATGGATTTTTTTTTTGGTGGTGGTGGTGGTAGGGGGGGGGTGGGAAGAGATCATTAACTCTGGATGGATTCAAACTGGTCTTTTAAAGCAGAATGACAGGATAGTCAGATCCCCCACCACCCCCCCCAAAATCCATCCCCCTCCTATTCCCCCCATCACCACCACACACACACACACACACACCCCCCCCCCCCCTTTAACGTTCAATGCAACTTTAATCCTAACTATTAGGTATCACGCATCTCTAGCTGTCCACATACAGTTCTAAATTACAATCAAACGGTTACCAATTACACAAATTATTGACGGCAGATTCTCTTTTCAACTGCAAATTAAGGCTATTAAGAAAGCCTTTTTTAATGCAAAAGTGACTAATTAACCAACGGATGGGAAATCTGCAACCCAGATATCAAAAAAAAAGTGCTCTGTGCACATTGCGGGAACACAAGGGAACCAATTAGTTTAATTATCAAAACAGCTAATTAAAATTGCACAGTTCCTAATTAGTTCTTTGCTTTTCCCTCTAATTGACAGGATGGAGATAAATGGGCAGCCGATGAAAAAAGAGAGAGAGAGAGAGAGAGAGGAGAGGAGAGAAGGAAAAACAGAGAAACTCGGGTTGAATATTTATGCTGACTTTATCTCTGTCTGTGTGGCAGCCTTGAAACTGGAAAATTAATGACCTTAATTCCCAAACTCTTTTCTCTAACTGCGCTCCCCTCTGCGTTGCCTAAGCATTTCTGATTTTTATAGGGCCAGCCACCCCGCCAACAATTTACACGCAAAATAAAAGCCCTGGGAGGTGGGAAGGGACTGGGCAAATCAGAGCCTAATGTGACAGTTCCCCCCGTTAAAGAGACACGACCCCTTTTGTACTCCTCCATTCGTTACATTTAATAGCTGCCAATAGTCTTCATTGCATTCTACTGCCTCTCCCCCACATCCCAACCCCAATACTCCCCCCCAACCCCACTTTACAACCTTCTCTGTTTATTTCTTATACAATGCAATTAAACTGTGCCTGGTAGAGGGAAAAGGAGGGGATTTGGGTTTCGCCAGTAGCAGCAAATAACATACCATTTGTCCCGATAGCATTGCGAGTCAGTTTGGTGATGATGTTTATTTCCAATTGGGGAGCGCGTTTTTTTTTTGCACACACACACTCACACACACGCACACGCTCACACACGCTCACACTCGCGCAAAATCGCTTCGCTCTTGTGTCTTGAGCGTTCCAGTCACTTTTGCAATGAAGGAAAGAGAAGAGTGAGTCCCTCTCATCAGGATTCCTATTGTCTACAACTGATAATATATCCAATATACTATTGGATAATAGTAATTAAGGGCACTGTCACTTTACCGTAGTGGTAGTCTGAGAAGGTTACGGATTATGTTATCAGTCTAAATTTACTGCCTAATGATGGAGGCACTGTGACACACTGACATCCTTTTAAATAGCCTGGTATTGCTACCGGTTCCTTTTTATTAGAATAATAATACTACTACTACTACTAATAATAAGTGAAATCAAGAAAATAAATCCTTTAGCTCCAGGTCAGGGAAACCTGGTGTTTCAAAAAAAAAGAGTCTTAATGTGTGTTTTTTTTTCTCCTTGTTATGAACTTGGCCTCCATTCTGCACCACTCTCTCTCTCTCTCTCTCCTCATTGGTATGAGTGAGTGAGTGGGTGAGTGAGTGAGTGAGTGGGTGAAGTGAGTGAGATTGGAGCTGGTGCCCTGTGCAATTGGCATTCCCACTTTCCTACAGTGCAGTACCAACCTAGCAATAGCACAGAGATGCCAGGGAGAGATGCCCTTTGATAACATTAAACGGTGAGTTTGTGAGTCAGACCACCTCTGTGCTCAGCACACTCAAACGTAGAAAAAAAAAGTGTCCTGTTTTCCTGTAGGAATGTTTGGGCTGGCAAATCAGATATTCATAACTAGTTTGCGAAAAGCAGCTGGATATTTATATTGTGTACTCTAAAGCACCGAAGCGCTAATAATTAATGAATGAGCGAATTAATGAATTAATATTTTTGGTCATAGTGTTCCGAGGAATGCGGATTTTTTTTTTTTACTTTGGGACGAAATGTTATTAGATAGCGAGTTTATAGATAGAAGGTAGAAATGCTGCATAGGTGTAATGTGTGG